AACACATCTCTCAATTCTCTATTCCAAAAAAAAAAAAAAAAAAATAAAAAAAAAAAAAAAAAAAAGGAAAAAGAAGAAACTGTCCAAAACCAGAGGTTCTGCAAAATCATGATTGAACAGTGTGCCATTCCTGCTTTTAAACTGCTAAAATGAAGCCTAAAATGATAAAAGCACTGAAACCCCAAATGGAGTTCAGGAATTCTGCAAGCCCAGTAATGTCCAAGTGCGTTTATGAAAAAAGAAAACTAAGAGACTCGAGTATATACACAATAGAGTGATTCTTCAGCCCAATACAAATGGCAGCCAATCGCTACTGAAGGATGAAACATTAAGCCAATTTTTTTTTTTTTTTTTTTTTAAGATGTAGAGCTATAGCCAATTCTATGTTTCCAATATTCTTAATCCCTCCTCACTTGTCTACTTCCACTGTTGCCCATAAGTATCCTGATAAAATTCCTGGTTGTCATTATTGTAACCATAGTTACCGGCATAGTCACCACCTTGCTGGAGCGGCTGCTGAGCGATGGGTTGGGAGCCCCAATTCTGCTGGTTGTTGGTCTGACGGCGCTTGGAATCAGGCTGGTTGTACCCATCTGCCTTTCTCTTGCCTCCTACGTTGCCCCCACGGTTGCCCCTGGCTCCACGAGCACCGCGTCCTCTCTGCTGCTGCGCAGGGCCCCCTCTCCCCCCCCTGGCTCCTCTCGGCGGTCCCATGGGTGCCCCCCTCTGTGAGTAGCCAGCTCTACCTCTTGGTGGTGGTGCTCCCCGCCCCCTAGGTGGTGGAGGGGCACCTCTCCCACCCCTTCCTCCTCCTCCTCTTCCTCTTATAGCATAGCCATCATCATAGCCGTAATAGGGATCTTCGTAGCCACCACGGTAGTCATGATAGTCATAGCCATAGTAATCATCATAATAATCTTCATAGCCATAGTAATCTGGGGGATAGCCATATCCACCTCTTCCTCCACGGCCTCGGCCTCTAATAGGAGGTGGCATGCGAGGCGGAGGGTAGTAATAATAGTCTTCATACCTGGTAAGAAAAAGAAACGCAGAATTATTTACCTCCAAAATTCACCCCAAGTACAGTATACATTTGCCCTTGTTGATTAACAATACACAACATGAAGGAAAGTCAAGTCACTCAGGTTCTTCTAAACCAGCACAACTTCACTGTGCAGCATTACCACGGTGCGAGGGTGACACTCACGCAGTGCTCCGGGAGGCCTGTCTGGCAGCCTGACGTTCTTTCCTTTTCTTATCCGGTGGCTTTGCTAATACTATTTCAATTTCTTCCCCTTCTATCTCTTTCCCATTCATTTCATTCATAGCCTGTATAAAAATTAAAAAAGAAATAACTAAAATTTTTTTTCCATTCAAAAGGAGACTAAAACTTTCTGCAAGAAACCAGACAGTTGGCCTGCTCCAGACTGAGCTATGCCATGTGCTTTGCCTTTGTGCTACATAAATAGAATGTTGCACATCACTTTTCCAAGTCACACTTTATTCACCAGTTACAGGGAAATAGTATTTCTTTAAAAAATATGCTCTTTGTATCATAAGATTAAAAAAGAAGATTAAATCATATTAAGCATTATTTTTATGAAGTCAGACCATCAGTTTTTATGTTCCTTTATCTCCTGGAAACCTTTCAGAAATACGCAAGTTCTCACTACTCACACTGATATTTATAAGCCTGGTAGAGCATATGCATACAAGAGAAAGAACTGTTACATTTGGGGTTCCCAGGTAGCTGAATGTGAGTCAAGTGACTGAGAAAATCAAGTAGTTCTTGAGGACACATATTTGAGGAGAAAAAACCAAAAAAGATTACTGAAACCTGGTGATCTCATCAAGCAAGCCCTGAATCCTCCAGAAAATTAATGTGCAATTTTTTATTATTAAATGCATCCACAAAGAGAACTTAGTACATAAAGTACAATCAGTACTAGACCCCCAGCTCCTCACCTGAAGGTATCATCTACTTTGCATTAAACTTTTTTGGTTATTAAGATTTACATTAATGAAGACCCTACGTGTCTCTACAGCTACATGGCTCAAAAGCATTAGAAATTATGGCTATTTATTTCCAAGAAGGTATGAAAATCAGTGGACACCTGAATCAATCAGCCAGTTCCATGCATTCCACACATAAATACCGTAACAATCTCATTGAAAGCCAAAACACGCCCACACACAAAAATATCTCATGAAGTTCATAAGACAATTTAGTGGCCATGAAGCAGTCACATGGGCCAGATGTGGCCGTTTGCAGCTGGAGATGAGCATTAATGATGCATTTGATCTGTCTTTTTCTTAACTGCTACAAGTTTCCAGCTGCTGAAATCTAACAGAGCATTTAGCAGGTAATTGTACTGGGAAGAGGCTGGAGGGTGTTTACGGACATGCTACAGAAAACCACATCCAGAGGTGTTGCTGACTTAACCCTTGTTTCAACAATTTCTTGTCCTCCCTCAGACATGGTCTAAACCTATCCAAACCAACTTCAACCTTGTGTGATATTCATCGTAAAGCCATACTCAAGAGTATTCTAAAACCTAATCTTGGGTGTAGCAAAATTAATTTAATTGCCTAAGCAATTAAATGGCTATAAAATCATTAATAAGATCGTGTACAGAGTCTTTGAACTGTCCATGTAGCCACATACACCACATACAACATATCTGCTTCAAGACTCACAAATGTAAAAACCACTTCCTACTCGCCTTCTTCCCCCATGAACCAAGGATTTAAAAAACAGATGGGAGTAATTTTCACAGAATTCAATACACTGAAGCACAGACAGAAGATATTAATGACCTTCTCAACAGCTCATGGACACAAAGGAAGAGCCCTCTGAAGCTTACAATAATGATCTTCAATATTTAACAAGTCATTGAGAAGAAAGCTCGGGTGCATGCAGAGTTAAAAACAGGTAATGCTTAAAGAGCTGCCAACACCATTCTCCTCTCCTTCACAAAGCATTTTTTAATTACCTCCCACTTTCTATTTGATATTTTTGTCACTCCAAAACTACACAGAGCCTTTAAACAGGGGTCTTTTGAGAGACAACTGATACCTTCTGCCAGTGTTTCCTCAGAAAAATTGTCTAGGTTGATCTTTTTTTTATCCTCTTCTCTAGACTCTCCTGCATTGCTCTACACCTCTTTTCCAGTCTACTTGTTAACTTGCTACAGTTTTGTCCTTTCAAGTTTCACATCCTCCTAGCTACTGAAATCATAGGAACAAAATTATTAGCATTAAAATTCTCACAATGGGAACCTTATTAAATGGGCTCTATGGTTTGTCTTATTGAAGTATTTACTGTAAAGAAATTTCTTAAAACCATTCATACAAAATAAAGTGCTCTCACCAACTTAGCAAGGGAAGAATAATCAACCTACCTTCACTGCTGCACCTCTGTCTTCAAAATGAACAAACGCATAATCCTTCAACTTCTTTACTCTTTCCAGCTTTCCAAATTCAGAAAACGATTTCTCAAGAATTTCTTCTGTCACAGTAGTGGCCAAGTTTCTTACAAATAAAACTTTAACCTGGTGAAAAAATGAAACAAAGCTGTAATCTTCAGAAGTCAAACCTCAAAGGAAACTATCAAGATATTATTCCCTTTTTTGTTGCATTAAGAAATTTGGGTAACTTCACTAATTCTGTATCTGTTAAAAAAAAAAAAAAAAAAAGAAAAAAAAAAAGTGCCTTGTAGTTACCTGCATGAAGTTTCTACAACTTCTCTCCTTCCACAGTTCCCTTCCATAACCAGAAGAATATCCAACATTGATTTTCTGCTTCTGGGATGCTACAAATCCCAGCAAAATTTTAGTAACAGACCTCAAGGACAGCAAAGAGGTACCCCAAAACACTGGGATAAAGTGCACATCATTCCCCACGCTGAATTTCACCTTCATGTCACTCTGGAAAATAGTTTTACGCAATACCTACCTGGTACTGATTACAGCTAAAGCAGAAAATGCACAACCTGATGTGCCAATCCAGCAGGATAACCCTGCACAGGACTAGTTTAGATGTTAACAGTAGTAAGTAACAGCACATTTCCAACATCTTCCAATGGCAACTCCTCCGCAGTGCTCAGACCACACCATTTGCACAGCTTACTGTGAAAATGCCCTCTAATTGTGTTTTGTGCCTCAAAACTAGCCTTGTTCAGCTGGAACAAATCTTTGTTACTGTGGCATAAAGAAATTCCTCCCAAAGCACAAGAGCATCCAGTGAAATCTTTACTGACCTTCGCCATGACTTCTGGATCAGGTTCCTCTACTGGATCAGCCCATTCCACTGTAACAACATTTCCCCAGACTTTTACTTTCCCACTCATCAGGCGTCGGCGAGCTTGCGCTGCTGACTTGTGATCCTCATATTCCAAGAAGCAGAATCCTCGATTCTTCTTTTTATCATCAGGTTGATGATACAAAATTACATCCACCAAACCCTCTGAAAAACAGATCTTTAGTACTGAGCTTCAAAAGGAAAGATAAAAATCTAGTGTCTAGCCTAAAATGCCTTCACTTGTGTTTTGTAGTGAATTTGAATTTTACACCTGAAAGGGAGTGGGAGCACAAGAAAAGCAAAACAAATAGATATCCATCCAATTTACCGAGAAACACATCACCTAGCAAGTGAAATTCTACAGAACAAACTTACCTCACAATTAGGCTCTGCAAAACATCAACCCCAGCAACTCACACAGTTTAAGTTTTCTATACTTTTTAAATCATTTTTACATCTTTGAAAGGCAGCCAGCACTAACACATGATCTCTCCCCTGCCTCCTGCAGAACCTAGAAGGAACATCTTCCACATCTCTCCAAAAAGAGGAGAGAGAACTAAATGAATATTCACCTTCTGTTTTCACCACTTCCCTGAAATACTTATAAATAGCAATCCTAAAAAAGAAGCAGGAGGTTAAAGCTCTCCTACAGGAACAAGAGCAAGTGACTCAATCTCTTATCTAAAGCAGAAGCACCCTTTCAGTGATGAGCTGACTTCTTTTCTTCCTACTTGCTGCACATATTGGAGAATGCTGAAAACCTGGGACAAAAATTAGTCTGTTATTAACTATTTCTCTAATAATATTCCCTCTAAACCAGTTTAGTATTCCCTCTGTCCCTTCACTGCTCAGGAATACGTTTGCTTCGGGCTCCCCAAAAAAATTCTCCATGTTGACAGCAGTACCTCCTGTAGATCCAGTAACAAATGCAGAGCCTTCAACAGAAAGCTAAAACAAGTAACAGAATTGGGACCTCCATTTTTTACTGAGCTCACGTGTGCTGGTTTTTCTGAGTTCATTTGAGTTGTTTGTGTCTCTAATTGTAAAGTTACATTATCATTCATTTAACAGTCACAAGTCCCTTTACACTTCACCTTAAGATACAGTACATATATAAAACTTCTAACAAAATCAGACTTGGAATCCAACTTGAAAATAATTTAAATGATACCTGAACACATCAGTCAAATAACTAGACCTATAAAACAGAGGCTAAATGGTATTCTGGGACTCATTAAGTCTTACCTGTGACTTTACCAAACTCTTCCAATATGTTTTCCTTAGTTTTGTTCTTTGGAATTGACCCAACAAATAACCTGTTGTTTGCCACGGAGATGCACACTCCAAGGTGCTTTCCAGGACGGATTTCATAGTTGTCACACTGAAAAAACAAAGCCATTCATTTGTTTTATCCACAATACTATGCATAAAAATATCCCCAAATCATAAAATCAGGTATTATCTTCATTTTTTACTACTTTTACACATAGCATATTGAATTTGCACTGCAAGAGAATTCCTAGAACAGCTGTTTTTGTGTTGGCATTCACTTGGAAGAACACTGCCAAGTTTAGGATTTCTACAAACTTCAAAAGTCCTGTTGAATGGAAAGCTACAAAAAACCTGCAGTAACAGTAACAACATGGGACTGTATACAAATTCACCTACTGTTTATCTCAGACTTGAAAGAGCTTTCTAGCAACTGGTTACTGCTACCTCTGCTGTCAGTCAACTGCTGCTGCTGTTATGAGTAAGCAAATACATGGCATTAAAGATACAGGGAGCTCTTCCTCTTTCCTTGGATAGCTTTGAACACTGAAAAGGTTTGCCAAGACAATCAACAGTCTAAATCACTCTGTGACCTGGCTTCTACCCCACCACAATAGCAGGCAATTTTTGTCTATGTATATGATAGGATTAAAAAATTTTACTGTCAAGATTTAAAATTTCCATTAAAAAAAAAAATCTAGTCCACTGTTTCATGGCTGTACCCACAGCTGGATTACTGTGAAAACCAAGACTCCCAATAGGCCTTTAAAGGTACAAGAATTCAGCCTTAAAAAAAACAAACAACAACAACAACAAAAAGATAGACATAGTCTTTGTTTTAGTCAGGATTTTCAAACACAGCAAAGAGGATGGATGTTTTATCATCAGCCAGCTTCTGAAAATTTCATGCAACTCTTTAAAAGTAGGTTTTTAGCCATTCTAATTCCAGCTGATACATAAGCCCTAAAAATGACAGCAATACCTTCAGGAACCTTCTTCATATTCTAGAAAAATCCTAAGGTACCCACAGACTATCAAACAAGATCACTCCAAGGAAGACAAAAGCATTTCAGAAATTTGCTTCACATACTTAAGTGATTCCTAACACAGCAAAGCTTTTTGTTCTGGTGCCATGAACTTATTAACCTCAATCTGCTTTTCACATTGTGTCTTACGCAAAGCCATTTTGCTTACAATCAATCCCACTCCCACTGGTGCCTTGCTGACACAAGGAAAAGCCCCACATGGTTTTAACTGCTTTTAAGTTTCTCCAGGTTTCAGGTTTCCCTGCTCCCACCGGCTTAACTAAGGTGTTCAGATTTTATCCCTCATCTTCATCTCTCATTCAGGATGAGCTGAATTCCACTAAAGCAATTGAGATTAGGCATTTGACCTGTTTTGGTTCAAAGTATACACAGTATTTCATACCCATATTCAAAATCTTGGGAGATAAACCCCAATCTGCCTAATTCTACTTCTTCCTCTCAGGCAGAGGCAAGACCCCAATCAGACTGCTGTCTCACCCTTTAATCCCCTATTGTTCCATGTCCTTTCCCAAATTGCCTAGGTGCATGTCAGCTTCCAAACAGTGAGCAGTGAGACTGCATGACTGGAAAGAACAAAAGGCCACTGGAAACAACTGAAGGAACTAACTCAGAGACCTCCTCCATGGCATCAGCAGCTAAACAAGGCATCTCCAGTTAACTCTTTACAAGTAGAAAGGGTGATGAAACTTAAAACACACTGAAGCTTCAAAAATGTATTTTCTAGCTGGAATCAAGTATGCTCCTAACAATTACCTAAGTACTCTGATCACCCACAGTAAAGTACAACAGATAACAGTCTTGTAAATTGTAAGTATCTGTACTTACTAATGAAATCAGGAGGCAATTTTTAAAAAAGTAAAATTTTGAGTCTATCAATGGATGCTTTAAAGACTTCATTACTTAAGAAATTATCAATATGTTTTCTGTTTGCTTTGTCTTGACCTGTCTGGAATTAAGTTAACTCACCAGTTTGACTGCTTCTTGTGCTGCATCTTTACTACAAAAGGTAATGAAAGCATAACCTCTGTTTTGACCAGAAAGAGGATCCATCATGAGACGCAGATCCCAAATTGGACCAGCTTTCTCAAAGAGTGGTACCAATTCATCTTCATAAAGGTCTCGGGGAATTTTACCAACAAAAACCTAAAAAGGAAGAGGATACTTGAAACAAAGCTTTTTCAGAAATACAAGCTTCTTTTTAACACTTGAAAATTGCTGGGAAAGGAAGAACAATGCAGATAAACCAGCAGAGCAGAAAGATTGCAGTCACCAGTGCAGACTTCACAACAGCTGACGTTATTGTATGTCCCGAGTGTTCTAATCCTCCTGCCATTTGTATGAGGTTTTACACATAGAAATCCTGGATTTGTTATTTATATTGAAAAGGCTGTGAATTTCCCCTGCTGAAGAGATAAATGGTTCTTACCTGGTATTAATTTTGGCAATTAAAAGCTAAGACCTTAGAGACCATCTAATTGGGTATCATATCTTAAAGCAGGCCAAGCACTTAATTGCTCTTACAGTATTTTCAAGTAACTCTTTAAATTAATCTTCCTTGGAAAGCCACAGAGATGGAAAAATAATTTACTACTAATAATTTCCATTTAATTGCTTGATGCATGTTTTCCACTTTTACTATATACTGTACTCTTGTTTCTTGTCTGTATTTGTTTCCGCTTCCACCAACTGAATGTTTAATATTTACTTAAGCAAACCTGCAAGGTCATGTGGTTTTGTTCCTTAAAATTAACTTGGGTTAAGTTTTGTTAAGGAGCTAATATCTTTAGCTGAGATCCCTAGAAAGATCCTCCCAGTTGTTTAAACACTGCAGCTCTCCTCTGAACTTTAAAAGCCTCTTCTTTGTTAATACAAACATATATTCCAAGAATCCATTAAGATCTAAATAAATAAATAATACATTATAATACTATATGTCATATTGATATATATTATTATATAGTAATAGATATAATAATAGTAAATAATATATTATTTTAACTTCTTTGTAGAAAAAAAAAGCCACAAGTCAACATTTCCCTTCTCAGTAAGGCCTTGTCAAAACTGTACCTCACACTGAAGGCATAGCAGAATTTCAGAACTAATGACACTCAGCATGCCCATGTAAGCATGCATATAACAAACTCATGAGGAGAATATGACTAACTTGAAAAACATAGAACAAGGTAGAACTTCTAGATATTTCATGTTATACAGATATTCCTGAAATTCACTTTCCAGAACATTTCTTAAAAGCTTACCCTGTCAGTTCAGTGTGAATGTTGACTGAACATTACTTATTGAAGAAAAAAGAAAGGATCTGATTTATCATACTAGGTGAAAGTTTAATGGCAGAGCCAAAAGGTTTTCCCCACTATCTCCCTAGAAAGCTCAAGGTATTCATCTAGATAGGTATTTACATTGTCATTACTTCTAGAACAGTTAATTCTAACTAATTTGCAGCTTTTAAAGACAAAATCTCAGTCAGCATAGAGCACACAGACCTAAGCAGAGACTGAGAAGTTACACGTGTCAGTTATCATCTTTCAGTTCAAGGATTCATTCTAATTATTTGCCACCACTACTGAATTAATTTTCCTTCATGGAATATGAACATTCCCTTTAGAAATCATTCTTACTGTGATACTTCTTGACATCTTCTTGAGAATAAACGCAAGAGCTTCAGCATCTCAAAGAATGGAAAACTTATCTATAAATTGAAAGACATTAAGGAGATTGACGATTCTCAAATCCAGTATGGTGGTTTATAGAAAAATCTCTGAAAGAACTCCTGTATCAGACATGCAGCAGTGTGACAGTATTTAAAGTGTTGAGCATGTATTACAAAACAACCTGCTAGGAACTAAAACCTTGAAGAATAGCTAAGTGAAGAAATACACAGTTCAAGTATTTTCATAACCAAACCTAAGTTTGCTCACAGCTTGCTAGGAAGATGCACAGGTTCAATTATAACCATAAATTTCCAAATAATTGCTTAGAGACTAGACTTCGTCCTTTGGAAAGAAAAAAGAAACAACATTTTAAAGTCCTTGAAACTCTTCCAACTATCATTTAACTTTAAAAAGAACAGCAGGTGTAACATGAGGTAAGAAAAGGCAGAGAAACTAAGGTAGTAGAAATTTAAAGCGTAACAAAGGAGCAATGCACAAGCCCCTATGGATAAGCAGTTATCAATGTGTGCAAATGCAAAGGACAAAGTGAGTGTAATGAGAGAAGGAAACACCCAAATAACTGCTTTTATTCTCATCAATACACACCCCAAATACATAGCATCAACATCATGTGACCTCACTATAAGTAAAATACTACAGTGGAGCAGCAAGTCCTTCAGTAAAAGGAACGTTATATTGTAGTAATACTATATAATACTGTATTATATAGTATTATATAATATATATAATAGTATAGTGTATAATATAATATTATGGAAATACAAAATAACACATATAAGAAATCCTATTGCCATTCTTTTCTTCCTTAAAACCTGCACAGCTGTAACCTTATCTTCATTATTTGTCTACAGAATCACATTCCAAAAAAATCCAACTGCTCCTAAAGCTGATCCCCTTCAAAAAAATACATGGGACTGCTTCCCATGACAGTTTATTAATACTTTATTGCATAATGCAGTTTTAGCTCTCAAGATATTCACCTATGTCTTGAGAGCTAAAGCTACAATTAACATGCAATTAATTCCACTTTATGTTTTAAAAATTAGTTGGTGTACAGATATTTACATTAGAAAGGCCTGATGAACCTTAGAGAGAAAGAAGTCTACCTAGTATGCATCTCCAAATCAGTAACAGTACTTGGGTATCCTCAAGAACCCAATGTTTGCCATTATTGTCACGTGAGTGACAGTTCTGCATCAATGTATCTGAGCTGACACAAGCTACAAGAGCTTCAGTACAATTTAATTAAGTTTCAGACAGAAAAAATGCACTGTCACAATCCAAAGTAATACTTCTTAATTTTTTTTTATCCCTAACATTGGAAAAGGAGCATATATGCTGCTATATAATTAGAAGTGTCAGAAACAAACAAAAAGTGGTTCTCAAAAGCTTAAGAAAAAAAGGAAACAAAAACCCCCACAAAAAACCAAAAACCCATCTGTGTCATTGTGGCAGAAAGTGCCCACAATGATCTCATCACTTATGTGCAAACATGCTCTACCACATCCTAGGATCCTGTTTAAATTGATTGCTATGCCTCAGAGCTCAACAGCAGGAGCTAAAGTCTACATTTCATAGAACATACACCAGTTTCAGCAACATATTCAGTACCTCAGGCTGTCAAACCAAACAGCATGTCTAAGTCAGTAATCAGTCCTTAAATCCCACAAAATGCCAGCAATACATTCATTTGGTAGAGGTATCATTTCTGGAACTAGCTGGCTGGGGTTTGCTATTGCTTCTAAAGCTGATTCAAGGCAGAAATATTTCCACTAAGGGAGTTTCTACAAGTTACTTGTTCTAGCTTCAGGAAACTTAGAAATATAAAAACATACTCTTCATAGTATGAAAGTGCAGCTGAATTTACGGCCCCTAAATTTTCCTGTGAACTCCTGAAGAGCCAAACCACCACTGGACAATATACTTAAGAGTAGTATAAGGACTGTCAGTCATGAGAGTAGCTCAGTGTAGGGAAGGGACCTCCTACAGCCAGTCCAGTGGCTTTTCCACTTCAGAGCTGACCAAAAGATAAATCATGCTATTAAAGGCACTGTCCAAATGCTCCTAAACCCTGACAAACCTGGAGCACCCACCAGCTCTCTAGGAAGCCTGTTCAATGTCTGACCACCCTCTCAGTAAAGAGATGCTTCTTTATGTGATGAGACATGGTGCAATTGAATAACTTTATACATCACATAATCACCCTGGCAACATCACTAAGTTGGTCAACAACCTCTAAGTCACCTTCCTAAATGCAGAGATAAAAAAAACAAAACCAAAAACCTGAAGCTACATGGTCTCTTTTCAGTAGTTGTGCTAGTTTCACTACTGGTCCATAAAACCATTGAGTATTTTTTCATATAGATTGAAACAAAAGCAAATATACAAATCCTTAACTATTACTAATCTCAGCTCAAAATTTTTTATGTAAGTACCTTCATACAACACCCAAGTCTTTTTCATTTTTAGCACATTACATGAAACCAAGCCAGTGTTGCTTAAATTCCATTTCTTGTAAACATCTCGAAGTCACATGTTACCTACTCATGCATCCATGGTCACTTTTCAAAAGACGGACTATAAACTTTATGGTGAAACATGAAGATAATTTAATTATAAGAAATTTTGTATAGCCTTTCCTAGTATACTCCACCACTTTTTTCTCCACTTTAACTTATCTTCCTGTCTTTTTCAGAATACTGAAGAGTAAGAAAGACTAATTAAGACATAGACAGAAGAATATTTTCCTCTAAAATACATTAAACTTGTAATATAGTTTACTTTCAAGTATTTCCTATTTAAGTATATAAAGCAATTATCAGATTCGTCTGTATATACCAACCTCTGTTCCAATGCCAGGCTGAACACCAGAATATACAGTATCTGGAGGAGGACCCCCATATTTCCTCTGTCCTGTAGTTACATCCAAAGTGTAACCAGTCCGCTCTAGCAAAGCCTGAAAAGAAAAAAAAAAGTCAGACTACTTACAAGAGAGAGGGCAGTGGGATAAAATCTACAGAACACAAAAAAGCATTCCAAGATAAGCAATTCTTTATGTGCTCCTTGCCACACTTGATAAGGTATATATGAAGAGACAGAACCTACAAAAAACCCTGTTGCTTTGTGGGTTTAAAAAGCTATCATAAAGAACAGCATTTGTTTTATATTACAAGGTTGCTAGAAAAAATTTGTCTTTTCTCTTATTTTCCATTTTATATGTCGCATCCCATGAAGTGCAGAACACCGAACAACTGAGACAATTTTGGCAACTGTGTGATGAGAAAGAGCTGCATTTCCAACAGCCCTTCCCTATAGAATCTCCATCATACATACACTTCTTTAAAGCCAAGTGTGAATATACTTATCCAGGTGGTACTGATGCTTTTTAAGTTCATATTCAGTCCATGTACAAGTAATGTATCAGCTAGCACAGAATAATCAGTATCTCTCAGTGTTACCTTAATCTTTGCTTCATCTGGTCCCTTCGTTGATTCCTGTACTTTGCTGCCTTGTTTCTCTCTTTGCCTGTAGGTCTTCATAACTCCACATAAAAATGCACTTTTGTTCTGTAGATACAATTTACAAAATAATTCAATTGTGTGTATGACAAGCCCTGGGAAACCACCGAATCTTACACTCCATACCATGAAGTCACTACTTCAAGTCAATGCAATAAATCAAATGTCAAATGAATCCTTCAGGAAAACACAATAATTAATTGAATAAACTTGTCAGCTTGAAAAAGTCATTATATTTCAAACAGCATTTTAACCTATTTTCTCTATTGCACACATATTTTTATTATCTGGGAGCTTTTGCTTTGTGCTCAAATACCTACACATTTAAGGCAATTTTTAACAGACTTGTTATTTGGGTTTGAAATATAATACAGCAACATCAGTAAATTTCTAAGTTACAACTCTCCTGCCAGTAGTGCCAGGACACTATACTTATGTGCTCACATTCCTGGGGCTCTCACCTTACCTGTACATGCGACAGGTCACTTTCTTTAAATTGCTGTAATACAGAGAGGGCTCCTTCTTCATTAAATTCCCTAAGAGCATCAATTGCTCTTTCATCAAGATCGACATAAGCTACCAAGCCTAAAAGTTAAAGATAAAGAAGTTACAGATTTCTATTGAATTTCATACAAACTAAGAACTATGCACTTTGCTTTTAAAGCCAAAAAGTTACATTCCATAGCAACAGAATTATACATTTAATTATATATTCCTACACAAGTATATGAAAGAATATGAGTACAATGAAAAAGTTAAATTAAAATGTATATACCTAAACACTAACTGATGTGCAAGATTATATCCCATGTGTAACAGTTTTCTAGCATTCAGGAATGCAATCTGCTGCATAAAAGCAGTATTACACACCAGGGTCTGAAACAATGAACTCTGGCTCACTTTTAATAATTTGAATTTTGTTCATTTAGCCCTCATTTTAAGTTCCACACTTCCTTCTCTCGAGTTGAGCTGTTCTAGAGTAAACTGACAGGTGAACATTACAAGTATCCTATTGTATGGGAAAAAGGAGCTACCCAACTGATGATACCTAGGAAGCTCTACCCCACAAAATATTAGGAAGCAAAAATTGTTTGTTCATTCTTTCCTCCACCTTCAAAAAAGCAGGAGTCAGTGATTTCATGTGTATCTTAAACAGTGTTTGGTGTTTTTTAAACTAATTTTGTTGCTCTATGCAGTTCCAAGAGCCAGAATTCAAAAAGGTATTATTTTGAGCCCTGAGATGTACCCGAAAAAGCTAATGTTAACTTTACAGGTACAGACTCCCCCAAGAAACATTGGACCAGTTCTGAAGCATTTTCTTTTTAAGGATCTTTACAAGGTTTTGGTTTTTTTCCTTTTGTAATCCACTTGCATCAGTTGTGGAGTCAGACATATAGAATGAGATTTACACTTTTAAAATCATACATCCAAATTTAGGGCAAATACCAAAAACTCCACACACTTTGCAAAAGCTTGACGATGAAAATACATGGATTATTTCACTGCTACTTGATTTTGAAAATGCACTGTAGTGCCAAGCCCAAGGACTACATTTCAGAAGTGATCCTGCATATTGGAAGGCACCTGTATTTTCACAGAAGACTTCAGCAGATAAAAAAATTGCTAAATTCAACCCCAAATTTGGCTCAAGTGTCAAAACTAGTCTGCTTCACTGGCAAACCCCTCCACAATGCAAACATCTTCAGTGGCATTAATGAAGTGTAAATAAATGTTTTCAGGTTACTCATGCAGTGGAATTGTATTTGGTAGTCAGGTTCTGGGCTGAAAAGCTTTCAAACTCCTTAAGAACTCCTCACAACACAACCTAACTGCAACACATGTTAGAACCCCACGAGTTCCTCTGCCCAGGTATTTATTTACACCTTCTCTCAGACCATCAAGTGCACATCATCATGACCCACAGTTGGAAAGTGTATCTCTATAGCCAATAAAAGCTGGCAAAGGCTCGAAGAAAGCTCACTGTGAATGACTTCCAAAAGACATCACCCACATGAGCCAGTTTCACACTGAGGATTGATAAGGTATTGACTTTGAACTGCCTTCACTTGATCAGTGTAATTTTAACTCTTTTCAACAAAAACTGTCATCTTGCCATCCAGGCATTCAAGGTAAGCACATAGAGCAGTTCTACTGCTTCTTGTAAATCTGTTCACAGAACACATTCTAAAAAGGAAAAGAAAGCCTCTCTCTGTAAGATAAAATAGGGTGGTTGTAAAAACAAAATAGGAAACCTCTGTATATAAAGAAACCTCTTTAGAAGTTGCAGAGACCACTTGCTACCAGCAAGGTATTACTCGAGTTGCTAGATAGCTTAGTCCTCAACTTTGCTAGTGTCAGGCTGAACATTTCAGTGTAATAACCAACATGGATTAAACTGTCCACTCAAAACTGGAGAGAACAAAAAATCCACAGGCAGACTCAATTCAAATGTAGTCCCAGGCAAGACAAGCTAGTTGCTTCCTTCACTAAGTCACCTATCCAGCCTTTGAGTGTTTTAGAATCACTGTGACAGTGACAGTAGAAACATAAAAGCAAAATGATGATTCGGACTAAAGAAAAAAAAAATGTACAGTTTAGTATGTGGAAACATACATCTTCATTTGATGTCTAAGAAACTAGTGCTCTGTGCCCTAAAGCAACTAAGATTTCACATACAACTCCAAGGATGTGTCAAGTAATTAGTCAATGTCAGACCCAATTTGCCTTTAGGGAAATCAAAGTAGCAAAACATTCAGAGCTACACAGATCAAAAACAATGAATTTTTAAATCGTAATCTATAAAAATTTGAAAATGGTATGCCCTCACTTTCATAACCAATCAGAAACAAGAAATGCATATTATACCTGTCTGAAATATTTCATCAAGTCTCTCTGCCACCTTCTGTGGGAGGCCTGCCTCTATCAGTGTCTTGTAGTGTTCTGTGTGAGTTACACTGGAAGTATCCATTGGTTCTTCCTCTTCTTTTAACTGTACCGCATTACCATTCACCTGATTAGCCATTTTATTATGCTGCTGGAAAAAATTCAGGAGCTATATTACAATAAGCCAGAAATAACTAGTTTGTAGGACAATGCATGATTTATCTAAACTAATTTGTATACATGCTGCAAAATCACCTGTATCAAGTTTTATTTAATACTTTTTGGATGCAGCTGATCTAAGTTTCAAAAGAAAGTACAACCCTTAATACTGTGGAAAATGTACATGGAAGAATTTACATAACTTTTTAAAAATGTACTTCATGTACATAACAATGTCTAAACTCCGTCTACTGATTGTCATTAACTGGTTACCATAGCAGCTAGAATGTAAGGGGACACGGCAGTAACATCCTTCAGCAAAGACTCAGAAGATCTACTGCTATTTCCATTTCCCATTCTGCTACTTTTAAAACAATTGTTTAAAATGTAGTGAACACATAACCCTGCAGAGTAGCTTAAGGTATAAAAATGTTAATACTTGTTTTTTGTTAATACTTATTTCCACTTGCTTGGCTTGTCGCCATGTCTTCCTTCAAACCCAACATGCTGCACAAGACTAGCCACACGCTTTCTCACGACGCTGTCAGAACTCAAGGACAGAAAGAGAAAAATTGCACTTTGATGGACATTGTCATTTGAAGCTGCAACGCAACAGTTTCCATGCTTTCAGTTTCCCTCAAATAGGAGCTGTACAAATCACAGCTACTATTTCAATAGTATATACCTCATTGGTTTAAAAGGAAGGCATGACTGCAGCATCTTCAGCTCTTAATATTAATAAAAGTACTTGCTTTCAGAATTAACAAACTGATTCCAAATACGTGCACCGAAAAATGCACAACTATCTTCTCAGACAATTCCAGTGGGCTTTGCCCAATTCATTAAAGACTGTTTCAATTTCCCAATTAGCCAGCCAGCTGATATTCAGTGCTTTCAAATAAAAAGGCTGACAAGAGACAATTCAACTACCCGGCAGAGAACATAAGGATGATCAGCTGTTAGGTTCAGAAATGAAAAAAGCCTCAGGCTTTAAATGACAGGGCAGAAGTTGATGAGCAGCAGCGAAATGATAACCAGGTAGACAATGCAGCATGGCTGGAGCAATGCAATTAAGTACTGGAATACAGGTATGAAGATGATTCAAGAACAGGTTTTTTAAAAATTGCTGAGGCCTCAAGCTATTTACTACGCTGCAAAACAAGTCTCCAAGTAAAAGCACACCACTAACAGTTCCTTGAACACCCAGCCCTTCCAGACTACATCTCATGAACTGGTTGGAAGATATCCTATGAAGATCTGCAAGCTAGAGCAAGGGAAGAAAAGAACCAAATCATTTTTCTTCAGACAGTAATGATTTTACTCAGGCTGTCTTATCTTGAAGGGCAATTTTAGAGACATCTAAAGCAGCCTCACACTGTTTCTGTCAGATGCCACTTTGAGCCATTCATGTGGAAAAGAAAGGAAGTTTTCCATAGCTACATGGAACATATAAATACACACACACATTCTGTTATTTGACAAAATCACTTTCTAACCAATTCAGTTTACTTAAAAGCAACTATAGCTTAATTACAGAAGAAAAAAAATGCTACCTGAAGTTACAATAATGCTAACCTATCCTTACAGGTATTAACTATCAAAACACTAACGAACATCAATTTTCTATAGGTTATGAACATCACAGAAGGCAAAACTCAGCTACATGTCTGCTTGCTAGACAGACTCGGCAAGATCTCAAATTTGAAACAGTGCAGGGTAGAGGGGGTTTAATTACACCAAAAATGCTTTGGGTACAGTACCATGCTTAACCCCTCTTCTCAAAAACTCACAAGCTGAAACACACAAAAACGATATAAAGAGGAGGGCATTTTTGTGTTCACCTTTCTACTCTCTTATAAAATCATTTAATTACACATATACTGTCTTCTCTGTACACAGGAAAAGAAAAATAAAAGAAACAAACCAAACTACAATGAACTAAGAGGCTATAGCAACACATAAATACAGAAAATTTACTGGAAGCAATTACTGGGACCATCTGAACTACAAGGGCTTATGGTGACACTAAAGGACAGTTTTTTGATAACCCAAGTGGCACATACCCAAAAGTTTAACACTTTTTTCAGTGTTGCCTATAAGTGAACAAAAGGTTGACAAGCTATGCTGTGCCCAGGTAGAAACACCTCCTCTGGAGTACAGTGACTCAAATTTCTGACAGGCAAAATTCTCTGCACAAAAAGACATTAGCCTTGACCACAAGCATACACCAGTGTGGGGAGCAATATTTAACCCTACAAAACAGATTACTACACAGCATCACAGCTCAAAGGCTTCTTAAAGTAGGCTTTTTAGGTAATTTAAATTAATAGTCAGCTTTGTAATTCACTAGCTGTATTGTTTATTTTTGCTGAAGAATTTGTATCTTCATAAAGAACTAAAATCAAATGCAACGCATAATCAGTTTGGGTGCTCAAATTTTAGCTATTTCTTTTAAATTAAGTTTGTGTGACAGGAAATTAATTAAAGAAATATAGTGTAGGAAAATCTGAAAGCTGCCAAAATATTCAGGTACCAAGAACATCCAGAAGCCATACATTTCTTCTCACAGATATAGCAATAGATCCCCTAATGGCTTGGCAAGCTAGGCCTGAAATCTGAGATTAAATTGACTTTTCTTCCACAACAATCACCAACAAGCAAAACTGCATCTCTTATAACACTGAATCTTCCCTCTGAGTTCAGCAGAGATATGTGGGTGTAAGTCATAGCTGAAAAACACTGTTTAGCTCTCCCTCAAGGTAACATCAATTAGTTGTAGCTAACGAGAAAAATATTTTTAACTTAATTTTATCCAGTAGTTAAAACACACAATGATTACTTTAACACTTTTATCCTGCTCTAAAAAAACACTAAAAGCATGTTAAAGAGGAGTGCTCACTCTGTTTGCAAGCGCAGTGTGTCCATGTGACTCAGCCTATGACAGGCCAGGCCATGCAGAGGAGCACCCACATACATTCAGTTTTTCATCTGTATTAAATCAGATTTTAAAATAGCTAGAAAAGAGGGAGACTGTTGAATCAGGTGGATTATAAATAAAGAATTATGTATATAAGTACATGTGGGATATGTATTTGTTTTTGAAACATGCATAAATTGATTAATTTAGAGCAGTGTACATAAAACCATGCTTACCAAATGAGCAGAAGAAATTAAAAGACATTGGGGGCAATTTTACATAGGCAAGGAGAATTCTCACTGGTGCCTCACCACCTCCTAACTGCATACCAGGAACGGTCTTGTTCCAAGTTTCACACTTTTGTTGCAAACAATGCTTTTCTGAAGACTGTAAATACTTCATGATATAAAGCATGGTTTTAGCTGTTTGCTATCTTTCATCCAAAATTCCTGCATCTTGAGAGTGATTTACAAAGTTGTTAGCCTCTTTTATAAGCTCTCATATGACAAGTAGGAAGTTAAAACTACAGGTGCTTCCAGTGTTTCATAAATCAAAGGGCTCAATTAGTTTATATTTCTAAAAAACAAAAAAATTAACAGAGGTGTGGTCCTGACAGTGTATGGCATCTTAGAAAGAGATACCTGATCAAGCCTTAATCTGACAATCACTGGTTAAGTAGCCATGATGTTACTATTCTCTTTATCTTATACCATGCCTCTAACAGAGGTTGCCACCTACAGACTATCTAAGTATAACTCCATCCAATTAATTATAAATTCAGTCTAGTTAACTCAAAACATGCTTAGGAACAGCTTAATTGAGAAGGAACAGAAAAATTCTGGCAAAAGGACAGTATCTCAAACAACCATAATGAACTTCACAATGATTATATATCAATACTGGTTTTGCTGCTGAACTTAAGTTTCATGCAGGAATGGAACTTGTTTAGCTCAGGTGCACAGGAAGCCGAGTAACGCACACATAAAAACACTTCACCAAAGTCATTCCACTTGTTTATGTTGCTACTCCTCCTAACCAATATATTATCTGTGTTGAGCAGTTAAGTTAAACCATGTTAAAAATAACACTGAAGGAAGTTTGGGGGACATCTGTTTGGTTTTGTTTTAACTGACCACAAGAAAACAAATGCAGTCCCTATAGTTATGCCTCACACTTCAAGAAGGTTCTTGTCAAGCAAGGAAGATAAACATGTAAGTGGGGGGGAAAAACGAGAATTCACATTTAAAGACCGAACTGGGGTTTAATTAAAACCTCACTTGTCCAGAAACATTTCTGTACATGCAGGCATGTACAAAAGGGCAGGCCCTTTATTCTGTACATGAAGGCATTATAGCCATTTCTTTTATACCTTAGCTTATCCAATCACAGAAAGCACATTTTAATAGCTTAATTATGATATGCTAAGTGTTTCTTAGCATGAATTACAAGAAACCCTATTTTGAAGTCATCACAGCCTGAAGACCTTTACACAGTAGCCAGGATTTCTCACTACCTGTAAGCCAAAATGCAGCCAGCACCCTCACTTCCCCAGCTCAGCCTTGCTCACTCCACAGCCTCTTAGAAAAATCTGAGAACCTCCAGTAGCATACTAAGCAAGAGACCAGCACAGCCCACAGAGAAACAAACTCTGCCTCAGTACCCATACAACTGTGACTGGGAGATGACTTTAGCACAGCAGGTTAGCAACGTGCCCATCAGTGCCATTAAAAAACACTGACTGCACTAACAGCTCCTATGTTTTGCTAACCTAAACCATAAAGCTTGCTCATGCTCATTTCTCACTGGAGTTGGCTATTCATAGCTTATTTGGTTGTCTGGGTTGTACCAAACAACAATCCTGGTACTCCAGTTCCAAGAAACACTTCAACAAAAATTAGCTTTGTTCTGAAGAATTTATCCTCAAAGAATTTTGCAGATGTCTGCCTAACAAAGCAGGGAGTATTGGGATCTTTGACTAAACTAGGAATTTGAGGAGCCTCGAGTATTATTTCAACAGTGTTCATCACCTAGACAGAAAAACTGAAAGGTAAGTACATGTAATACTTGTGGGAATTTCAAGGATAGCAAATTATCAAGCACACACTGCTGGTTCACAAACACTACATTTTGTACAGGTTACAAAAACCTTACGCTGTGAGATGCAAAATTCATTATATTATTTCTACAAGTAAAAAAAAAAAAACAAAAAACTGTGTTTAAGTGTAGCCTCAAAGGAAGAAAAAACCAATCAAAAAACCAAAGCACCAGCTTCATGAGCACTAATGTCGTTTGCAGCACGAAGTGCCAGTGGGATCCTTTAGAGTCATTAACGTGGAAAAGGGAACCCAACACACTGTTTCAAAAAGAGTAGTCCAGCACAGCTGATGTACTTAAGTAGCATGTTCAAAAACTGACAGGTAACAAGGCTGCTCAGACCGAATAAACAAAGTATTTTTAAAGTATTTGCAATAATGACGCATTTAAGCAAAACTTTTCAAGATTTAATAAAGACTTTTAACAAAAGCTAATGTAAGAAAAACAATGTCTTAACAACAAAACTTCGGAAAGTTTCTCCTTTAAGTACCTGACAAGCGTTTTTCCCTCAATGGAAGTAGGAAGCGCAGACCCGAGCGCTGCGGGTGGGTGCAGCTGTCCCTCCCAGCTCTACCACATTATGCGCTACCTAACCTAAGATCTAAGGGCGCGCTGCGACAGCGACACATTTGCAGCTGAGAGCGTTCTTCTGTGCCCGCGGGCAGAGCGGACCGGGCACAACCGCAACCACCGGGTCTAGCGCAGCTTTAAAAGCCCGGAGGGACCGAGCAGGGACCCGACCCGACCCACAGCCCCAGGAGAGGCGCGTCCCGGCCGCCCGTCACATGCAACCCTGATCCGCACGGCTGGGCGGAGCGGGCCGCCCCCCACCCCCACCCGCCGGGCCCGCCCCCGGCCCCTCCCCGGCGCCGCTCCCGCGCCCGCGCCCGCCCGCCTTGCCCGCGGAGCAGACCCGCGATGGCCCCCGCCCCCCTCCGCTCCGCCGTGCCAGCGCCCCGGGCCCGTCCCCGCCCGCGCCGGGCCTGCCCGCAGCCCGCGCTGCCCGTCCCCTCGCGGGGCCCACGCAGGAGGGCTCGGCGCGGCCGCGGAGCGCCCCTGCCCCGCGGGGCGGCCCCAGCACTCACCGGAGCGGGGCCGGCGCGGCGCAGCTCGGGCCCAAGCAGCGACGGCAAATGGCGCGCGCTCCTCCTTCTCCTCATGGACGGCGGCGCGACCCCGGCAGCACGCGGGGTTTCCCGGAACTGTTTCCAGGGACCGCTGCTTCGCCCACTCAGGAGCCCGCGCTCCAGACGGGCAGCCGGCAGCACCAATGAGGTGCGAGAGGCGGGACGCGCCATTCCTCCCGGCGGCCAATGAGAGGGAGGCGCAGTAACCAATCGCGGGGTGCCTTCCACCCGGCGCGCCGGTAGGGCCGGACCGGGGGCATTTAAAGGGGCAGCGCCTCCCGCGGCCCGAACAAAGAGAGCGCGCGGGGCCGCTGCGCTCAGCTCCGCCCCGCGCGCCCGGGGCGGGGCCTGTGCTGAGGGGGAGAAGCCGGAGCTTCCCCGGGCCCCGCTCCCCGCGGTGCCCCCGGGACCCCGGCGCGGCCCTGTCTGCCCGTGGGGCCTCTCGCGCTCTCCGAGCCGTGCCAAGTGTGAGCCCCCGGACCGGGACTGGCCGCGTGGCCCTCCAGGCCCGAGGAGGAGAAACTCTGCGGCTGCGGGAGCTGAGGGTCAGGCTCATCTCAGGACGCTGTCGTGCGGGGCTCTGCAGATGCTAATCTGTAATTAATCGGTGATTAGGTCTTACTTGCCTGCTCACCAGATTTTCTTGATCAGGCTCTCGATGAGTGCAGACTGGACACAATAAATAGATAAGTCGGGAAGAAATCAGCCTGTTGGCACCGATGGTGTTGTGCTGCCTTCACGTGTTTGTCCTGCTGTTGCATAACGTGAAAGTCAACGTGTGCTGGGTTGGGTCAGGCTGAGTCCCGGAGTGCTGTGTCAAACCAAACCCGGAGAACCTACGGTCGTATAAATTGTGTATCTGGAGTCTGGTAAACAAAAGGAGCAGCTCATGTACTTGTGGAGAAGGTTCTTCCAGTACCTTCACCCCAAAATTATTCTCCTGAAGATGGCATGAACCTGTGTGGTGAATCACTTATGTGTGATACCCCAGCGCTGGTAATGTGGGGAAGAAGCGGTATGTGGTGTCCAATGTTTCCAAACCAGAAGTTGGAGGCAAATTTGTGCAGATACTGGAGGTTCAGGCTGAGTTGCTGAACCTGTCTGGTGGGAGACATGCTGCTTCTCTTGTAGAATTGGCACTGCCTCAGTGACTTGAGATTTGGCAGTGGAGCCAAATCTTCAGTGCTGGATGTAGGGTCTGCTGTGGTGTAGAGACGGAAGGAGGGCTAATCATTCATTGTCTTGTCCATCCCAGTTCACTGCAGTGGTTTTTCTGGGAGTTGAGAATGATGGGTTAAAGGAGTTCTCACAATACAAGTATTGAGAGGAATTGAGGGAGCTGAGCATCTTTAGTAAATGACAATTAATAAATGTCCTGCAAAGCTCTTAATTTTTTTATAATATAGTATCCAGGATTGAATTATGAAGTATAATGATGTATGTCCTGTCAGCTGGCAACTGAACATGAGGAGGCTAATGAGAAAAATGTATATTGAGGTATGTATGTTTCTGCAGTGTTATAAATTGAAAATAATTTCCAGAATATCTCTAGCAACTACCATCCTAGGTTCTGTGTGCTTTGCAGTGCTTTGTTCTTTGGTCTCATGTTCCACACTACAGCCTCAGCCCAAAATGATCTGAACTTCGGACACCTCTAGCCAGGAACAAGCTATAGCCTGCAGGTAGTTGGATTAGTGCCAGACAGCAAGTTGTACCTGAGAGGAGGCCCTAGATTTTGCTAGATTTCTCAAATTTAATTTTTGCTAGAAAATGCCACAATGAGACTAGTTACAGCTCTCTGTGATTGGATCCAAACAGGTACATGTGAGATCTGATTTAGCCCTGGGCCAAGGCAAAGCAAAAATTGTCTCGGAACCAAGGAGAGAGTTAATCTCAACTGCTGAGAGCTGGGAGGGCAGGACAGTCCTGCTGCCCCTGACCATGCAGAGAGAGAGCCAACCTCTGGCAAGGAGTCTGCCTTGCTCTGCTCCTTCTGTGAGTCCTGCGAGGGGAAATGCTGACCAAACCCATGAGGGGACAGAGCAAAGGAAGTGAAGTGATCCAGCTTTTCCACAGCTCTATATATTTACTCCGCAACCTGTTGACATTTTCCTATGTTCAGTGGCCAGAGGTTGCTGAGGCTCAGTGTTTTCCCATCAGTCTGTCACTTCTCTTCCACACTGGGCTGAAATTCCTGTGTGTGCCACATCAGTGGCAAGATGACAGAGTTGAATCTGCTGTAATTTGTAGGTGAGCTGTTAACTTAGATATGGAATATGATGTTTCCTGATGCTCTAGACTTCTTATCCTGACCAATCATTAGTGCAGCATATTATGGATAATATGTTACAGATGTGCCTACCTCCAGCAAATACCTTGTTCTCTGGAGCTCTGGGTGCAGCTCTTACATGTATGCTAAATCCCAGACTTTCAGGGAGATGCCTATTTAAATAAACTTCAAACTTTATGTATCAGTAAGGAACTTTCTGAGCACCCCCAGTGTGTTCCACTGCCTCTACAGCAGGGAAATGCTCAGGAAAGTTTCTGCCTGCAGAGGCCATGCTACTGTTATTACCCTGTGCACATGTTTATTTTGCCTAGCACACAGACAGTGTATTTGATTTTTAGGAAAACACACACATGTGCTTTGTCTTGCCTTTTTCCCTTTATCTGCTCTGGAGTGGGGAGGTTGAGTGTGACAAAAAGGCCCAAAGAGACCAGACTGGGCTACCTGAGTGCCTTGCACTAAAACCAGCTTGCTAAAGATCTTGGATCTCACTTTCTTTTCATTTTTTTCTCCACCCCTGAGCCAAGGATTCTTGGCAATTTCCATCATATTTGTGTAGGATGCAGCACAAACCGAGCAACTTGGGAAATAGCTTCTGTTTGCTGCAGCAAAAATCACCAGCTCAGTCTGAGCCGAAAACAAATTGCACTTTTCCTGCTCCTGCAGTGGCCAAGCAGTGTTGGGCCATGATCTTTAGAAGTGCAGACAGAAGATTTGGTGTTAAAGAAGGATAAGCATCTTATTGAGACATAATAACTGCTCTAAGAAGTGAAACTCTTAATGGAGCTGTGCTGTAGGTGGCTATGGGAAGTCGGGGTGTTGTGAACAGGGTCAGGCCAACCCTGAGGAACTAGCAAATAACCAAGATACACCAGTTTTGGCAGAGAAGAATCCCTTTCTTTGTGTACACCTGTGCCTGTGAGACAAAGCAGGGACTAGTCATGCCATCAGCCATTCCAGAGCAATTGAGGAAGCCCAGAACCATTAGTCCCTCTATGGCCTGTTATCTGAGTTCAGCACTATCCTTGCAGCTTTACCAGTTTCAAACATCAACTTTGGGTTTGCTCTGAACCAGAATTTGGTTTCTCCAAAAGACAGCTAAGCCCTGTCTTCCACGTTGCACAAACTGAGGGGGAGTCCTGAAAAAGTCTCTAGATGACTTGTGCCTTTTTAACTACCCAGCAATCACCTGGGTCCAAGCTATAATCTTGTTTTACTCCCCTGCATTCCTGCTCTGGAATCCTGCAGCAAACAATCTGTAGTTGGCATCTTTCCATCCATGGGCCCTGGAAGTGGTGACTGAACCCAGACAAAATCCTTGCTGCAAGTCATTCAAATGCTCATGTCATTTGCCGATGGGCAAGAAAGCTCTGTGGTGTAGCAAGGTTCTGACTTACACACCACAGTCCTGAGTGGCTTCAGAGAGTTTGTAACACCTCTCTCTGTGGCACAGTAGATCACAAAGGTCCAAATCACTGCATTCCCAGTCCCATAGCAAATCCCTGCCCTGTTTGGGCAGAGGCTCTGTGGCTGAGCTTACACGGTTAGTGCACCAAAATGCACAATAAAACCCAGAGATGTGAATTTAAACCCTCATCTGTTCCCTTCTGACTACAGAGTTGTCCTAATATTTATATATTTATATATTCAGCTCTCCACAGTCCACTGAAGCTGTTATGCCAAGCATCTCACTAGTGACTCTGCAGCTTTTGGGGAAGTCAACCCCAGCTGACAGAAACAATAGGAAAAATACTCTGAAAAAGGTAAAAAACTGGATTTTTAAATAGGTATAACCCAAACAGGTCAATAGTATATTGCTTTTCATGACTCAGTTTGTGTCACCAGGTTCAGAGGTGGGGAAGGGAAGGTACTTGTATTTTGTTAATTATTCGTTAATTAGCCACAGCTGAAAGGAACAAAGGCCACTGCAAAGCTCTGTATGCTGCCTTGGCAAAACTCACCACACCACCATCTCCCACAGCCTGAGCACAGGTAAGGACACTCCTTAGCCTCTCTTCCAGGGCTGATCACATGGGTGACACCTTCACTGAAGAACAGTGTTTAAGGGCATCAGAGTGACAGTGGTGTCATTTACTCTGCAGACAAGATGTACCATTACCTGCAATATTCACCAAGTGAGGGCAGCCCAAAGGGAGCAGCTGGCTGGGGATGTACCAGGGAACACAGGAGAAACTGGGACACTTTCAGCCAGCCAGTCACACCCTTGTAAACCACTTTCAAAGGCATCATTTGCCTCCTGCACTTTCAGACAGGGCAGTTCCAGGCACAGACCCACCCAGTTCAGTGTCGTTGCCACCCTGTCAGTGCTGCACAGTAAGCCTGTTTGGGCAGATTTACAGACATGACAGTGCAGGTATACAAGGAAAGATGTTTTCTTACCTGCTTGTTGATACATAAAGTCCCCTTCTTGTCAGTGCTTACCGCAGTAAGGCCACATTGTTTCAGGTTACTTACTGTGTGTTTTATGATGTGCTTCCTTACATTAAAATGTCAATAGTGATTGAAGCTACATAAAATTAGTCTTAATCCATCCATCTTTAGAAAGAGAATTAGCTAAGGAATAGAGAAGTTGAGGCCGTAAAAAAAAACAAAACCCTAATCTACCGGGCAGTTAAAATTCATTGTGGAAAAGAACATTCACATGGAAGCCAGGATCTCGGCTGTCTTGGTCCAGGAACTAGGACCACCACAAGTGACACCAGCATAACTTAGAACACTATTTTTCTTTCTCAGTTTATGAATACAATTTTTCTCTC